CCCGCCTCTCCCCGCCTCTCCCTGCCTTCTCCCTGCCTCTCCCTGCCTCTCCCCCTCGCCTCTCCCCTGCCTCTCCCCGCCTCTCCCTGCCTCTCCCTGCCTCTCCCCGCCTCTCCCTGCCTCTCCCCTGCCTCTCCCGCCTCTCCCTGCCTCTCCCTCGCCTCTCCCCGCCTCTCCCCGCCTCTCCCTCGCCTCTCCCTGCCTCTCCCCGCCTCTCCCCGCCTCTCCCTCGCCTCTCCACTGCCTCTCTCCGCCTCTCCCCGCCTCTCCCTGCCTCTCCCTGCCTCTCCCTCGCCTCTCCCTGCCTCTCCCTGCCTCTCCCGCCTCTCCCTGCCTCTCCCTGCCTCTCCCCGCCTCTCCCTGCCTCTCCCCGCCTCTCCCCGCACTCTCTCTAGCCTCTCCCTCGCCTCTCCCTCGCCTCTCCCTGCCTCTCCCCGCCTCTCGCCCGCCTCTCCCCGCCTCTCCCTCGCCTCTCCCCGCCTCTCCCTGCCTCTCCCCGCCTCTCCCTGCCTCTCCCTCGCCTCTCCCGCCTCTCCCCGCCTCTCCCGGCCTCTCCCCGCTCTCCCCGCCTCTCCCTGCCTCTCCCTGCCTCTCCCCGCCTCTCCCTCGCCTCTCCCCGCCTCTCCCCGCCTCTCCCTCGCCTCTCCCTCGCCTCTCCCTGCCTCTCCCCTGCCTCTCTCCTGCCTCTCCCCGCCTCTCCCCGCCTCTCCCCGCCTCTCCCCGCCTCTCCCGCCTCTCCCGCCTCTCCCTCGCCTCTCCTCGCCTCTCCCTGCCTCTCCCTGCCTCTCTCTGCCTCTCCCGCCTCTCCCACGCCTCTCCCCGCCTCTCCCTCGCCTCTCCCTGCCTCTCCCCCCTCTCACCCGCCTCTCCCCGCCTCTCCCTCGCCTCTCCCCGCCTCATCCCCGCCTCTCCCGGCCTCTCCCCGCCTCTCCCCGCCTCTCCCTCGCCTCTCCCCGCCTCTCCCTCGCCTCTCCCCGCCTCTCCCCGCCTCTCCCTGCCTCTCCCTCGCCTCTCCTCACGCCTCTCCCTCGCCTCTCCCCGCCTCTCCCTGCCTCTCCCTGCCTCTCCCTGCCTCTCCCCGCCTCTCCCTGCCTCTCCCTCGCCTCTCCCGGCCTCTTCTAGCGCCTCTCCTGCCTCTCCCCTGCCTCTCCCTGCCTCTCCCTGCCTCTCCCTCGCCTCTCCCCGCCTCTCCCTGCCTCTCCCGCCTCTCCCTGCCTCTCTCTGCCTCTCCCTGCCTCTCCCTCGCCTCTCCCCGCCTCTCCCTCGCTCTCCCTCGCCTCTCCCCGCCTCTCCCTGCCTCTCCTCGCCTCTCCCTCTGCCTCTCCCTGCCTCTCCCCGCCTCTCCCTCGCCTCTCCCTGCCTCTCCCCGCCTCTCCTCGCCTCTCCCGCCTCTCCCTGCCTCTCCCTCGCCTCTCCCTGCCTCTCTCTGCCGCCTCTCCCCGCCTCTCCCTCGCCTCTCCCTCGCCTCTCCCTCGCCTCTCCCTCGCCTCTCCCTGCCTCTCCCTGCTCTCCCTCGCCTCTCCCTGCCTCTCTCTCGCCTCTCCCTCGCCTCTCCCCGCCTCTCCCTGCCCAATCCCATGCCTCTCCCCGCCTCTCCCTCGCCTCTCCCCTGCCTCTCCCTCGCCTCTCCCTCGCCTCTCCCTGCCTCTCTCTGCCTCTCCCTGCCTCTCCCCGCCTCTCGCCTCTCCTCTGCCCTGCCCTCCCTCCCTCGCCTCTCCCTGCCTCTCCCCGCCTCTCCCTCGCCTCTCCCTGCCTCTCCCTGCCTCTCCCTGCCTCTCCCTGCCTCTCCCCGCCTCTCCCTGCCTCTCCCTCGCCTCTCCCTGCCTCTCCCCGCCTCTCCCTCGCCTCTCCCTGCCTCTCCCCCGCCTCTCTCCCGCCTCTCCCGCCTCTCCCCGCCTCTCCCGCCTCTCCCCCTCGCCTCTCCCTGCCTCTCCCCGCCTCTCCTGCCTCTCCCCGCCTCTCTCGGCTCTCCTCGCCTCTCCCCGCCTCTCCCTCGCCTCCAGCCTCTCCCGCCTCTCCCCGCCTCTCCCTCGCCTCTCCCCGCCTCTCCTCGCCTCTCCCCCCGCCTCTCCCGCCTCTCCCTCGCCTCTCCCGCCTCTCCCTGCCTCTCCCGCCTCTCCCTCGGCCTCTCCCTGCCTCTCCCCGCCTCTCCCGCCTCTCCCCCCTCTCCCTCGCCTCTCCCCGCCTCTCCCTGCCTCTCCCTCGGCCTCTCCCGCCTCTCCCCGGCCTCTCCCTGCCTCTCCCCGCCTCTCCTGCCTCTCCCTGCCTCTCCCCGCCTCTCCCTGCCTCTCCCCGCCTCTCCCGCCTCTCCCTGCCTCTCCCTGCCTCTCCCCGCCTCTCGCCGCCTCTCCCTGCCTCTCCCTGCTCTCCCGCCTCTCCCTCGCCTCTCCCTGCCTCTCCCCGCCTCTCCCTGCCTCTCCCCGCCTCTCCCCGCCTCTCTCTGCCTCTCCTCGCCTCTCCCCGCCTCTCCCTCGCCTCTCCCCTGCCTCTCCTGCCTCTCCCGGCTCTCCCTCGCCTCTCCCTGCCTCTCCCTCGCCTCTCCCTGCCTCTCCCCGCCTCTCCCTCGCCTCTCCCTGGCCTCTCCCTGCCTCTCCCCCTTCCTCTGCCTCCCTGCCTCTCCCCGCCTCTCCCTGCCTCTCCCTCGCCTCTCCCCGGCCTCTCCTCGCCTCTCCCTGCCTCTCCCCGCCTCTCCCTGCCTCTCCCTGCCTCTCCTCTGCCTCTCCCTGCTCTCCCTCGCCTCCCCGCCTCTCCACTGCCTCTCCCTCGGCTCTCTCTCGCCTCTCCCTGCCTCTCCCTTCCTCTCTCTGCTTCTCCTCGCCTCTCCCCGCCTCTCCCGCCTCTCCCCGCCTCTCCCGCCTCTCCTGGCCTCTCCCCGCCTCTCCCTCGCCTCTCCCCGCCTCTCCCCCCGCCATCTCCCGCCTCTCCCTGCCTCTCCCCGGCTCTCCTCTCGCCTCTCCCTGCCTCTCCCTGCCTCTCGCCCCGGTCTCCTCTCGCCTCTCCCTTGCCTCTCCCCCGCCTCTCCCTGCCTCTCCCGGCTCTCTCTCCCTCTCCCTGCCTCTCCCTCGCCTCTCCCTACCTCTCTCTGCTTCTCCCTGCCTCTCCCCGCCTCTCCCTGCCTCTCCCTCAGCCTCTCCCTGCCTCCCCGCCTCTCCCTGCCTCTCCCGCCTCTCCCTGCCTCTCGCTCCCTCGCCTCTCCGCTCGCATCTCCCCGCCTCTCCCGCCTGCCTCTCCCCGCCTCTCCCCGCCTCTCCCCGCTCGCCCTGCCTCTCGCTCCCGCCTCTCGCTCCCCCGCCTCTCCCGCCTCTCCCTGCCTCTCCCAGCCTCTCCCTCAGCCTCTCCCTGCCTCTCGCTCACTCTCCCGCCTCTCCCTGCCTCTCCCTGCCTCTCCCTCGCCTCTCTCTCGCCTCTCCCTCGCCTCTGCCTCTCCCGCCTCTCCCCGCCTCTCGCTCTCTCCCTGCCGCTCGCCTCTCCCCGGCTCTCGCTCTCTCCCTGCCTCTCGCTCGCCTCTCCCTGCCTCTCGCCGCCTCTCCCTGCCTCTCCCCGGCTCTCGCTCGCCTCTCCCTGCCTCTCCCCGGCTCTCGCTCGCCTCTCCCTGCCTCTCGCTCGCCTCTCCCTGCCTCTCGCTCGCCTCTCCCCGGCTCTCGCTCGCCTCTCCCTGCCTCTCCCTGCCTCTCCCCGGCTCTCGCTCGCCTCTCCCTGCCTCTCGCTCGCCTCTCCCTGCCTCTCGCTCGCCTCTCCCTGCCTCTCGCTCGCCTCTCCCTGCCTCTCGCTCGCCTCTCCCTGCCTCTCGCTCGCCTCTCCCTGCCTCTCGCTCGCCTCTCCCCGGCTCTCGCTCGCCTCTCCCCGGCTCTCGCTCGCCTCTCCCTGCCTCTCGCTCGCCTCTCCCTGCCTCTCGCTCGCCTCTCCCTGCCTCTCGCTCGCCTCTCCCGGCTCTCGCTGCCTCTCCCTGCCTCTCGCTCGCCTCTCCCTGCCTCTCGCTCGCCTCTCCCTGCCTCTCCCTGCCTCTCGCTCGCCTCTCCCTGCCTCTCGCTCGCCTCTCCCCGGCTCTCGCTCGCCTCTCCCCGGCTCTCGCTCGCCTCTCCCTGCCTCTCGCTCGCCTCTCCCTGCCTCTCGCTCGCTCGCCTCTCCCCGGCTCTCGCTGCCTCTCCCTGCCTCTCGCTCGCCTCTCCCTGCCTCTCGCTCGCCTCTCCCTGCCTCTCCCTGCCTCTCGCTCGCCTCTCCCTGCCTCTCCCCGGCTCTCGCTCGCCTCTCCCTGCCTCTCCCCGGCTCTCGCCCGCCCGGAGCTGCCTTGCTCTGAGCCAGACCCATCGTCAGCCTGTTCTTATTTTAAATAAACTACGTTTACTACACAGCATGTGTACAATGATTTTGTTACTCAGAACGTTACTACTCATACAAATAATATTACTAATAACAATAATGACAATAAATCAGCAGCAGCAGATACATGACTTCTCTTCATGACCATGACAGAGACAGACCCTCTGCTGCTGCTGCTCCTCGTCTCCTGATTGGTTGAAGCCCGCGTCCAAAGCTTCAAAAGCTCAGCTTTGCTCAGCTTCAGCTTCAGAGGGATTGTTGTGATACGCGAGCGTTTCGCGCGTCAAAAGCTTCAAGTGAGCGCGTAGTACGCGCGACTCTTGAAGCTTTTGACGCGCGTCAAGTGACGCCGGGGCTCTCGGCTTCACCTGACGCGCTTCACCATTCACTTTCAATGGAAACCTGACGCTTTTGACGCCGAAGTTAAGTCCGGTGTGAATGCCCCTTAAGAGACACATGACACAGAACATTAGCATCAACATAATTAGCATAACCCTGGCATTAGCATAGCCTTTTCATTAGCATAAGTGCATGTAACATTATTGAGAAACAGACGCTGGTCACATGACTAAGGGGGAAGGGGAGTGCGGTCACATGACTCGGGGTGCGGTCACATGACTCGGGGTGCGGTCACATGACTCGGGGTGCGGTCACATGACTCAGGCAGGGGGGGTGTAGTGATGGGGGGGCAGGTAGCTGACCAGGTGGGCAGGGTTGGGGGCGGGGCAGTAGAGCCGCGGGGGCGGGGCTGGCTGCGACGGCCAATGGCAGCTGTAGTAGTGGGCGGAGTGATGGTGAGGGGGCGGAGCCTCATAGGTCAGGTGTACCACAGGGGCGGAGTCTGCATACACAGGGGCAGAGCCAGAGTGAGAGCAGAGAGGGAGGAGGAGAGAGGGAGGAGGAGAGAGGGAGGAGCAGAGAGGGAGGGGAGAGAGGGAGGAGAGAGGGAGGAGAGGGGAGGAGCAGAGAGGGAGGAGGAGAGAGGGAGGAGGAGAGAGGGAGGAGCAGAGGGAGGAAGAGAGGAGAGAGGAGAGGAGCGAGGGAGGAGGAGAGGGAGGAGAGAGGGAGGAGGAGAGAGGGAGGAGCAGAGAGGGAGGAGGAGAGAGGAGGAGCAGAGAGGGAGGAGGAGAGAGCGGGAGGAGCAGAGAGGAGGAGGAGAGAGGGAGGAGGAGAGAGGGAGGAGCAGAGAGGGAGGTAGGAGAGGGAGGAGCAGAGAGAGGAGGAGGAGAGAGGACAGAGAGGGAGGAGGAGAGAGGAGGAGGAGAGGAGGGAGGAGCAGAGAAGGGAGGAGCAGAGAGGGAGGAGGAGAGGGAGGAGCAGAGAGGGAGGAGGGAGAGAGGAGGAGCAGAGAGGGAGGAGGAGAGAGGGAGAGCAGAGAGGGAGGAGGAGAGAGGGAGGAGCAGAGAGGGAGGAGCAGAGAGGGAGGAGCAGAGAGGGTGAGGAGCAGAGAGGGAGGAGCAGAGAGGGAGGAGCAGAGAGGGAGGAGCAGAGAGGGAGGAGGAGAGAGGGAGGAGCAGAGAGGGAGGAGGAGAGGGAGGAGGAGAGAGGGAGGAGGAGAGAGGGAGGAGGAGAGAGGAGGAGGAGAGAGGGAGGAGCAGAGAGGGAGGAGGAGAGAGGGAGGAGGAGAGAGGGAGGAGGAGCAGAGGGGAGGAGGAGAGAGGGAGGAGCAGAGAGGGAGGAGCAGAGAGAGGAGCAGAGGAGGGAGGGAGGAGAGAGGGAGGAGGAGAGAGGGAGGAGCAGAGAGGGAGGAGCAGAGAGGGAGGAGCAGAGAGGAGGAGCAGAGAGGAGGAGGAGAAGAGAGGGAGGAGGAAGAGAGGAGAGAGAGAGGAGAGGAGGAGCAGAGGGAGGAGCAGAGAGGGAGGAGGAGAGAGGGAGGAGCAGAGAGGGAGGAGGAGAGGGAGGAGCAGAGAGGGAGGAGCAGAGAGGAGGAGCAGAGAGGGAGGAGCAGAGAGGGAGGAGGAGAGAGGGAGGAGCAGAGAGGGAGGAGCAGAGAGAGGAGGAGCAGAGAGGGAGGAGGAGGAGAGGGAGGAGCAGAGAGGGAGGAGAGAGAGGGAGGAGCAGAGAGGGAGGAGGAGAGAGGGAGGAGCAGAGGAGGGAGGAGCAGAGAGGGAGGAGCAGAGAGGGAGGAGCAGAGAGGGAGGAGGAGAGAGGGAGGAGCAGAGAGGGAGGAGAGAGGGAGGAGCAGAGAGGAGGAGGAGCAGAGAGAGAGAGGAGGAGAGAGGGAGGAGCAAGAGAGGAGCAGAGAGAGGAGCAGAGAGGGGGAGGAGCAGAGAGAGGAGGAGCAGAGAGGGAGGAGAGAGAGGGGAGGAGAGGAGAGGAGCAGAGATGGGGAGGAGAGAGGGAGGAGCAGAGAGGGAGGAGGAGCAGAGAGGGAGGAGCAGAGAGGGAGGAGCAGAGAGGAGAGGAGGAGAGAGGGGAGCGAGAGAGAGAGAGGAGGAGAGAGGGAGGAGGAGAGAGGGAGGAGCAGAGAGGGAGGAGCCGAGAGGGAGGAGCCGAGAGGGAGGAGCCGAGAGGGAGGAGCAGAGAGGGAGGAGGAGAGAGGGAGGAGGAGAGAGGGAGGAGAGAGAGGAGCAGAGAGGGAGGAGGAGAGAGAGGAGCAGAGAGGGAGGAGAGAGGGAGGAGGAGAGAGGGAGCAGCATAGAGGGAGGAGCCGAGAGGGAGGAGCAGAGAGGGAGGAGGAGAGAGGGAGGAGCAGAGAGGGAGGAGCAGAGAGGGAGAGAGGAGGAGAGAGGGAGGAGCAGAGAGGGAGGAGCAGAGAGGGAGGAGCAGAGAGGGAGGAGCAGAGAGGGAGGAGCAGAGAGGGAGGAGCAGAGAGAGGGGAGCAGAGAGAGAGGAGGAGAGAGGGAGGAGCAGAGAGGAGAGCAGAGAGGGAGGTGCAGAGAGTGTTGTGTGTTCTTACAGTGCACTTCCTGTTACTTTGGCTCTAAACATACCATAACCCAGTCCAGATGGTTTTGGACCTGAACCCAGTCCAGATGGTCTTGGACCTGAACCCAGTCCAGATGGTTTTGGACCTGAACCCAGTCAAGATGGTGTTGGACCTGAACCCAGTCCAGATGGTCTTGGACCTGAACCCAGTCCAGATGGTTTTGGACCTGAACCCAGTCAAGATGGTTTTGGACCTGAACCCAGTCCAGATGGTTTTGGACCTGAACCCAGTCCAGATGGTTTTGGACCTGAACCCAGTCCAGATGGTTTTGGACCTGAACCCAGTCCAGATGGTTTTGGACCTGAACCCAGTCCAGATGGTCTTGGACCTGAACCCAGTCCAGATGGTTTTGGACCTGAACCCAGTCCAGATGGTTTTGGACCTGAACCCAGTCCAGATGGTCTTGGACCTGAACCCAGTCCAGATGGTTTTGGACCTGAACCCAGTCAAGATGGTTTTGGACCTGAACCCAGTCCAGATGGTTTTGGACCTGAACCCAGTCCAGATGGTTTTGGACCTGAACCCAGTCAAGATGGTTTTGGACCTGAACCCAGTCCAGATGGTTTTGGACCTGAACCCAGTCCAGATGGTTTTGGACCTGAACCCAGTCCAGATGGTTTTGGACCTGAACCCAGTCCAGATGGTTTTGGACCTGAACCCAGTCCAGATGGTTTTGGACCTGAACCCAGTCCAGATGGTTTTGGACCTGAACCCAGTCCAGATGGTTTTGGACCTGAACCCAGTCCAGATGGTCTTGGACCTGAACCCAGTCCAGATGGTTTTGGACCTGAACCCAGTCAAGATGGTTTTGGACCTGAACCCAGTCCAGATGGTCTTGGACCTGAACCCAGTCCAGATGGTTTTGGACCTGAACCCAGTCAAGATGGTTTTGGACCTGAACCCAGTCCAGATGGTTTTGGACCTGAACCCAGTCCAGATGGTTTTGGACCTGAACCCAGTCCAGATGGTCTTGGACCTGAACCCAGTCCAGATGGTTTTGGACCTGAACCCAGTCCAGATGGTTTTGGACCTGAACCCAGTCCAGATGGTTTTGGACCTGAACCCAGTCCAGATGGTTTTGGACCTGAACCCAGTCCAGATGGTTTTGGACCTGAACCCAGTCCAGATGGTTTTGGACCTGAACCCAGTCCAGATGGTCTTGGACCTGAACCCAGTCCAGATGGTTTTGGACCTGAACCCAGTCAAGATGGTTTTGGACCTGAACCCAGTCCAGATGGTCTTGGACCTGAACCCAGTCCAGATGGTTTTGGACCTGAACCCAGTCAAGATGGTTTTGGACCTGAACCCAGTCCAGATGGTTTTGGACCTGAACCCAGTCCAGATGGTTTTGGACCTGAACCCAGTCCAGATGGTTTTGGACCTGAACCCAGTCCAGATGGTTTTGGACCTGAACCCAGTCCAGATGGTCTTGGACCTGAACCCAGTCCAGATGGTTTTGGACCTGAACCCAGTCAAGATGGTTTTGGACCTGAACCCAGTCCAGATGGTCTTGGACCTGAACCCAGTCCAGATGGTTTTGGACCTGAACCCAGTCAAGATGGTTTTGGACCTGAACCCAGTCCAGATGGTTTTGGACCTGAACCCAGTCCAGATGGTTTTGGACCTGAACCCAGTCAAGATGGTTTTGGACCTGAACCCAGTCCAGATGGTTTTGGACCTGAACCCAGTCCAGATGGTTTTGGACCTGAACCCAGTCCAGATGGTTTTGGACCTGAACCCAGTCCAGATGGTTTTGGACCTGAACCCAGTCCAGATGGTTTTGGACCTGAACCCAGTCCAGATGGTTTTGGACCTGAACCCAGTCCAGATGGTTTTGGACCTGAACCCAGTCCAGATGGTTTTGGACCTGAACCCAGTCCAGATGGTTTTGGACCTGAACCCAGTCCAGATGGTTTTGGACCTGAACCCAGTCCAGATGGTTTTGGACCTGAACCCAGTCCAGATGGTTTTGGACCTGAACCCAGTCCAGATGGTTTTGGACCTGAACCCAGTCCAGATGGTTTTGGACCTGAACCAGTCCAGATGGTTTTGGACCTGAACCCAGTCCAGATGGTTTTGGGGCTGGACCACAGAGTGAAGGGGCCAACAAGTGCTAAGCATCATGGGAACTCCTTCCAGACTGTTGGAGACCATTTCAGGTCCTGTTGAAGCTCATCCAGAGAATGCCAAGAGTGAAGCAGTATCAGAGCAAAAGGAGCTACTTTGAAGAACCAGAATATAACACATATTTACACTTGGTTCATACTTTTTTACTACGGACATAATCCACATGAGTTCATCATAGGTTTGAGGCCCTCAGTGTCAGTCTACTATTTTGATAGTCATGAAGATAAAAAACTCTTGAGATGGGTGGGTGTGTCCAAACTTTTGGTCTGAACTGTAAATATCATATGAAATGTGCAAAAAACACTAAGATTGTAAATGACAAGAGAGAAACTAAACTATGGACAAAAGCGGTGAAAGAAAAGTCCATTCTGCGTCGTCTGGTGTTTCCACGGCAACGTCATCAAGACTCAAACTAATCTGAGATGTTCATGTACTAAGTTTAAAAAGAAAAACCTATTTTTATTTGTGACATCAACAGACGACAGAACCGGCCTCACTGAGATCTGTAGAGGAAGTACTTTACCTGGAACATTCCAGATGGTTCTCCTTCATAAGAACCTAATCTGTCCTTTACAGATGGTTAAAGTCCCAGGAGCGACTCATTCTGAACACTTCAGTGTCTCAGATCTGTGCAAACTCTGTTCACATCACACAAACTGCTCTGTAATAAGTACTCTGTACTCAGTACTCAGTACAGAGTACTTATTACAGAGTCCAGAGTACTGATTACAGAGTACTTATTACAGAGTACAGACTACTTAGTAATAAGTACTCTGTAATAAGTACTCTGTAATAAGTACAGAGTACTTATTACAGAGTACTTATTACAGAGTACAGAGTACTTATTACAGAGTACAGACAGTAAAACATAAAGTCATTAAAAAGTCAAACCAGATGATTTTTGAGTCTTCATGATCAATCAAGGTTCTGATTTTTTTTTTCACTGATCTGAACTGGTCTGGTGTCAGTAGTTGATGGTGTCAGTAGTTGATGGTGTCAGTAGTTGATGGTGTCAGTAGTTGATGGTGTCAGTAGTTGATGGTGTCAGTAGTTGATGGTGTCAGTAGTTGATGGTGTAAAAGGGAAAAGCCGGAACAATCCACCCTGGAGCCAGGCCTGGGGTTGGGGCTCGCAAGCGAGCGCCTGGTGGCCGGGCCTTACCCCACGGGGCCCGGCCGGGCTCAGCCCGAAGGGATGACGTGGGCAAGCCCTCCTGTGGGCCCACCACCCGCAGAGGGGTCCGTGGTGGCGAGGTGCAGAGAGGACTGGGCAGCAGTCGAAGGCGGAGACCTCGGCGACCCAGTCCGCACACCCAACATCTGGCTCTTGGGACGTGGAACGTCACCTCACTGGGGGGGAAGGAGCCCGAGCTTGTGGGGGAGGTTGAGCGATACCGACTAGAGATAGTCGGCCTCACCTCCACACACAGCTTGGGCTCTGGAACCCAACTCCTTGAGAGGGGTTGGACGCTCCACTTTTCTGGTGTTTCCCGCGGGGAGAGGCGGCGAGCTGGGGTGGCCATTCCCATTGCCCCCCATCTCAGCCGCCACGTGTTGGAGTTCTCCCCGGTGAATGAGAGGGTCGCGTCCCTCCGCCTCCGGGTGGGGGACAAGTCTCTCGCTGTTGTGACGGCCTATGGGCCTAACAGCAGTGCAGAGTACCCGGCCTTCTTGGAGTCCTTGGGAGGAGTACTGGACGGTGCACCGCCCGGGGACTCCGTTATTCTCCTGGGGGACTTCAACGCCCATGTGGGGGACGACAGTGACACTTGGAGAGGGGTGATCGGGAAGAACGGCCTGATCTGAACCCGAGCGGTGCTCAGTTGTTGGACTTCTGTGCCAGTCACGGCCTGTCCATCACGAACACCATGTTCGAGCACAAGGGTGTCCATCAGTGCACGTGGCACCAGGACACCCAGGGCCGGAGGTCGATGATCGACTTTGTTGTCGTATCATCTGACCTTCGACCGCGTGTCTCGGACACTCGGGTAAAGAGAGGGGCGGAGCTGTCAACCGATCATCACCTGGTCGTGAGTTGGATCCGCTGGCAGGGGAAGAAGCCGGTCAGACCTGGCAGACCCAAGCGTATAGTGAGGGTTTGCTGGGAACGTCTTGCTGAGCCCCCTGTCAGACGGACTTTCAACTCACACCTCCGGGAGAGCTTCTCCCAGGTCCCGGCAGAGGAGGGGACATCGAGTCCGAGTGGACCATGTTCTCTTCCTCTATCGCCAATGCGGCGGGTCGTAGCTGTGGTCGCAAGATCTCTGGTGCTGGTCCCGGTGGCAATCCCCGAACCCGGTGGTGGACACCGGCAGTAAGGGATGCCGTCAGGCTGAAGAAGGAGTCCTATTGAGCAATGATGGTTCGTGGGACTCCTGAGGCAGCTGTCCAGTACCGGCAGGCCAAGCGTGCCGCGGCCCGGGCTGTTGCAGAGGCAAAAACCCGGGACTGGGAGGAGTTCGGAGAGTCCATGGAGCATGACTATCGGTCGGCCTCAAAGAGGTTCTGGCAAACCGTCCGGCGCCTCAGGAGGGGGAAGCAGTTCTTTGCCAACACCGTGTATGGTGCGGGTGGAGAGCTGCTGACCTCGACTGGGGATATTGTCGGGCGGTGGAAGGGATACTTCGAGGTTCTCCTCAATCCCCCCGTCACGTCCTCCGTCCAGGAGGCAGAGGCTGAGGATGTTGGGGCGGATACATCCATCTCCCTGGCTGAGGTCACCAAGGTGGTTGGTAGCCTCCATGGTGGCAAGGCTCCGGGTGTGGATGAGATCCGCCCTGATTATCTAAAGTCTCTGGATGTTGTAGGACTGTCTTGGCTGACACGTCTCTGCAACATCGCGTGGCGATCGGGGGCGGTGCCAATGGAGTGGCAGACCGGGTTGGTGGTCCCTCTCTACAAGAAGGGGGACCGGAGGGTGTGTTCCAATTATCGTGGGATCACACTCCTCAGCCTCCCCGGTAAGGTCTACTCCAAGGTACTGGAGAGGAGGCTACGTCCGATGGTCGAATCTCGGATTCAGGAGGAGCAGTGTGGTTTTCGTCCCGGTCGCGGAACACTGGACCAGCTCTATACTCTCCATCGGATACTCGAGGGTTCATGGGAGTTCGCCCAACCTGTCCACATGTGCTTTGTGGATTTGGAGAAGGCGTTCGACCGTGTTCCCCGGGGTGTCCTTTGGGGGGTTCTCCGGGAGTACGGGGTCCGGGGTCCTCTGCTGAGGGCTGTTCGGTCCCTGTATGACCGTAGCAAGAGCTGTGTTCACATCAGCAGTAAGTCAGACCTGTTCCCGGTGCATGTTGGCCTCCGCCAAGGCTGCCCTTTGTCACCGGTTCTGTTCACTGTATTTATGGACAGAATCTCTAGGCGCAGCCAGGGGCCGGAGAGGGTCCGGTTCGGGAACCACAGGATTTCATCTCTACTTTTTGCGGATGATGTCGTCCTGCTGGCTCCAACGAGCCAGGACCTGCAACATGCACTGGGACGGTTTGCAGCCGAGTGTGAAGCGGCTGGGATGAGAATCAGCTCCAAATCTGAGGCCATGGTGCTCGACCGGAAAAAGGTGCCTTGCCCTCTCCAGGTGGGTGGAGGGGTCCTTCCTCAAGTGGAGGAGTTCAAGTATCTCGGGGTCTTGTTCACGAGTGAGGGGAGGATGGAGCGTGAGATTGACAGGCGGATCGGTGCAGCATGCGCAGTGATTCGGTCTCTGTATCGGACCGTTGTGGTAAAGAGGGAGCAGCGTCTGCAGTCAGAGCTGTATCGGACCGTTGTGGTGAAGAGGGAGCAGCGTCTGCAGTCAGAGCTGTTTCGGACCGTTGTGGTAAAGAGGGAGCTGAGCCGAAAGGCAAAGCTCTCGATTTACCGGTCAATCTTCGTTCCCTCCCTCACCTATGGTCATGAGCTTTGGGTAATGACCGAAAGAACGAGATCGCGGATACAAGCGGTCGAAATGAGCTTCCTCCGCAGAGTGGCTGCTCCCTTAGAGATAGGGTGAGCAGCTCGGTCACACGGGAGGAGCTCGGAGTAGAGCCGCTGCTCCCTTAGAGATAGGGTGAGGAGCTCGGTCACACGGGAGGAGCTCGGAGTAGAGCCGCTGCTTCTCCACGTTTTGAGGAACCAGTTGAGGTGGCTCGGGCATCTGTTCCGGATGCCTCCTGGACGCCTCCCTGGGGAGGTGTTCCGGGCACGTCCCACCGGGAGGAGGCCCCGGGGAAGACCCAGGACACGCTGGAGGGACTATGTCTCTCAGCTGGCCTGGGAACGCCTTGGGGTCGGACGAGCTGGAGGAAGTGTGTGTGGATAGGGAAGTCTGGGGGTCTCTGCTTAGACTGCTGCCCCCGCGACCTGGGAACGGATAAAGCGGAAGAAAATGGATGGATGGATGGAACAATCCAATCAATAACAGTTCAAACAGAGGCCACAGTCTGTTTTATCAGAGGTGACACACACACAGACACAGACACACACACAGACACACAAACAGACCCACACACACACACACACACAGACACACACACAGACACAGACACACAGAGACACACAAACAGACACACAGACACACACACAAACCCACACACACCCACACACAGACCCACACACACAGACCCACACACACAGACACAGACCCACACACAGACACAGACACACAGACACACACAGACCCACACACAGACACACAGACACACACAGACCCACACACAGACACACACACAGACCCACACACACACAGACACACAGACACACACAGACCCACACACACACACACACAGACACACACACAGACCCACACACACACAGACACACACACAGACCCACACACAGACACACACAGACCCACACACAGACCCACACACAGACACAGACCCACACACAGACACAGACACACAGACACACACAGACCCACACACAGACCCACACACACAGACACACACACACACACAGACCCACACACAGACACAGACACACAGACACACACAGACCCACACACAGACACACACAGACCCACACACAGACACACACAGACCCACACACAGACACAGACACACAGACACACACAGACCCACACACAGACACACACAGACCCACACACAGACCCACACAGCAGTAGAACAGTGATGACGGGACGTTCTCAGAAGGAAATGGAAAACTGACGGGAAACTGGGAAAGATACAATATTTGGTACAAGGTCGAAAGAAAGAGGTTGTGGTTTTGTGTGTACCATGAAGGAATCACTATGTGTCATATAATAGTTTGGCAAACATAAAGAACAGACTAAGTACAGACTCCGTACCCAAACCCAAACTCCAACAGACCAGTCAAAGGAATACTGTGAATCACAAAAAAAGAATAAATGTGAATCTACATGCTTCAGTCTGAAAGAACCTTTTTAAGCAAATCCCACTTTCACGTGTTCATGCTTAAAGCCCTAGAATGTTATGAATCTATTACTAACTTGGACCTGTTAACAGTGAATGAGCCATACACTGTAAAACTCTCCCAGTCTGTAGTCCGACCCCGCCCCCTTACGTCATCCACAATGCAACGTGGACTTTGCAAAGAATAAAAGAAACAAAAACAACTGGGCGACAGTAGCTCAGTTGGTAGAGCATTGGCCTTAAGGCCAGAAGGTCGTGGGTTCAATTCCCGCCTCTACACCTTCTCCACCGACTCCCACTGATGACTGCTGTCGTTGTGTCCTTGGGCAAGACACTTAACCCCACTTTGCCCAAAGCCCCCACTGAAAGATCATGGCTATGCTCACAGTCAGAGAGCAGCCTCCTGTGGACTCACCACCTGCAGAGGATCAGTGAGGGGCTGGTGCTATGAGACTTGGGTGGCATCTCTGACTGCCACCCCCCTGACCCAGAAATGGATTAAAGGGTAGAAAATGGATGGATGGAAAACAACTTAAAAATTCACAACTGACAGCGGTGCTATTTTTACTCAACACATGGACCACGACATTCCCCTGTGGAACCAAACACTTGCAGGTCTTTATAAATGCCATAAACAATAACAATACATCTGTGCTAAGCGGCTAGCTCGATTTCATGCTAACTCCTTAACGTTAGCCCCGTCGCCATGACAACCACAGACTTAAAACTGTCGATGCGATTTATCACACGCAGATTCGTCAACATTTATTCATCTGTTTAGCAACTTTAAATACTTTCACTTTGACAGAACCTCCACAAGTAAAACTCAGTTATAAAGTTAATCACACACAAAGTTAGACCTAAAGTACTGCTGCATTTTAATACCATTGTTAGATACTTTTTTAATTATTTATTTGTTTATTTAGTTTGGATGCATGTGTTTGTGCTGCTCCCGGACACTTGCATTCGTCCTGCAGGGATCACTAAAGTATCTATGCAAATATAAGTAGCAGATTCGTGACCTACCTGTTCTGCCAGCCTTGGATCAGATTGGTGTATTTGCTGAGCACTCCCTCCTGCTGTGTCCTCTGCTGCTGCTGCTGCTGCTGCTGCTGCTGCTGCTGCTGCTGCTGCTGCTGCTGCTGCTGCTGCTGCTGCTGCTGCTGCTGCTGCTGCTGCTGCTGCTGCTGCTGTGGTGGTTGTGGATTCATGCTGTTCCCGTGGAGGACACTGAAGCCCCCGGAGAGAGGGGATTGTCCTCTGCCGCTGCCTCCTTTGCCCCGATCAGACGCGGGTGTCCTGGCGTGATGGTGCGGACTGGTGCTGGTGCTGGTGCTGGTGCTGGTGCTACTACACAGCGTCTTGTCCATCCTGGTCACGGGACGATGGCAGAATGATGGTAATAAGAGCAGACACTGGAGCCAAAAGGATTTCAGAGTGGTAAAAGCATGAGGCCAGAGTGCGTGGAGCTGGTGCGTAAAGATGGAGAGTGTGACATGGTGCTTCCTGCAGCTGTCCCGGGTGCATCTCTCCGCGGTCCGTCCTGAGTCTTCTCCGGCTCCTTCTGGATCTCTCCAGCGGCAGCGGAGAAACACGCCCCCGTCCGCTGCAGTCACGCCCCTGCCTCACGTCACGAGGGTCTCAGGGAAATTAAACACACACGAATACACATATTATTCTAGATTTTGAACATGATGGTTTTTAATGTGCCTTCCTCTAGTTTTGAGTAATACGTTTATGACTCACAAATGTATCACATAAAGCTGCAGCGTACATCTATATATACATATGTATACATATATATATATACATATGTATACATATATATATACATATGTATATATATATACACATATACATATGTACATATATATATATAAATATACATATGTATACGTATATATATAGATGCTATGTAGGAGTATGTGCTCCTCTTCTAATCCTGTGAAGACCCTAGAATCCTTAAAACGTTTAACTGCCTTTCTAAATAAAAATAATGCAAGAGTGTTGTTTGCGGTGCTTTTTGGACACTCTTCACATGTCATTCTTCTTTCACTGTAGAGAAGCACTCTACAGCGTCTCTATTGCACCTGGATTTCCCAGAGGTCTCCCATTATAGCATTAACCAGGTCTTGCCCTGCTTAGCTCCAGAGGTCTGACAGGATCTGGCTCTAAATACATACAAGTGGCACCACATCCAGAAACAATGTCATCTTATTTCATTTGAGAGCTGTATGTTTTAAATATTAGATCAAAGTCTGACTGTAATGTCTTCGACGAGTTAATTTCCTGAACGTGGCTTTGCATGAATGAAGTGTTTCTCAATCAGGGGAGCAGAGGCCAGAGCACTTACTAACTGTTCAAAAGAAAGAAAGAAAGGAGTGTGTATCGGTGAGACTTAACAATATGATATTTTAAACCCGAACCCGGTGGTGGACACCGGCAGTAAGGGATGCCGTCAGGCTGAAGAAGGAGTCCTATCGAGCCATGATGGTTCGTGGGACTCCTGAGGCAGCTGTCCAGTACCCAGGACTGGGAGGAGTTCGGAGAGTCCATGGGGGCATGACCATCGGTCGGCCTCGAAGAGATTCTGGCAAACCGTCCAGCACCTCGGGAGGGGGAAGCAGTTCTTTGCCAACACCGTGTATGGTGCGGGTGGAGAGCTGCTGACCTCGACTGGGGATATTGTCGGGCGGTGGAAGGAATACTTCGAGGTTCTCCTCAATCCCCCCGTCACTTCCTCCGTCCAGGAGGCAGAGGCTGAGGATGTTGGGGCAGATACAACCATCTCCCTGGCTGAGGTCACCAAGGTGGTTGGCAGCCTCCATGGTGGCAAGGCGCCGGGAGTGGATGAGATCCGTCCTGATTATCTAAAGTCTCTGGATGTTGTAGGACTGTCTTGGCTGACACGTCTCTGCAGCATCGCGTGGCGATCGGGGGCAGTGCCAATGGAGTGGCAGACCGGGGTGGTGGTCCCTCTCTACAAGAAGGGGGACCGGAGGGTGTGTTCCAATTATCGTGGGATCACACTCCTCAGCCTCCCAGGTAAGGTCTACTCCAAGGTACTGGAGAGGAGGCTACGGCCGATGGTCGAATCTCGGATTCAGGAGGAGCAGTGTGGTTTTTGTCCCGGTCGCGGAACACTGGACCAGCTCTATACTCTCCATCGGATACTCGAGGGTTCATGGGAGTTCGCCCAACCTGTCCACATGTGCTTTGTGGATTTGGAGAAGGCGTTCGACCGTGTTCCCCGGGGTGTCCTTTGGGGCGTTCTCCGGGAGTATGGGGTCCGGGGTCCTCTGCTGAGGGCCGTCCGGTCCCTGTATGACCGGAGCCAGAGCTGTGTTCGCATTGCCGGCAGTAAGTCAGACCTGTTCCCGGTGAATGTTGGCCTCCGCCAGGGCTGCCCTTTGTCACCGGTTCTGTTCACTGTGTTCATGGACAGAATTTCTAGGAGCAGCCAGGGGCCGGAGGGGGTCCGTTTGGAGACCACAGGATTTCATCTCTGCTGTTTGCAGACGATGTTGTCCTGTTGGCTCCAACAAACCAGGACCTACAACATGCACTGGAGCGGTTTGCAGCCGAGTGTGAAGCGGCTGGGATGAGAATCAGCTCCAAATCTGAGGCCATGGTGCTCGACCGGAAAAAGGTGCCTTGCAGGTGGGTGGAGAGGTCCTTCCTCAAGTGGAGGAGTTCAAGTATCTCGGGGTCTTGTTCACGAGTGAGGGAAGGATGGAGCGTGAGATTGACAGGCGGATCGGTGCAGCGTGCGCAGTGATGCGGTCTCTGTATCGGACCGTTGTGGTAAAGAGGGAGCAGCGTCTGCAGTCAGAGCTGTATCGGACCGTTGTGGTAAAGAGGGAGCAGCGTTTGCAGTCAGAGCTCCCTCACCTATGGTCATGAGCTTTGGGTAATGACCGAAAGAACGAGATCGCGGATACAAGCGGTCGAAATGAGCTTCCTCCGTAGAGTGGCTGCTCCCTTAGAGATAGGGTGAGGAGCTCAGTCACACGGGAGGAGCTCGGAGTAGAGCCGCTGCTCCCTTAGAGATAGGGTGAGGAGCTCAGTCACACGGGAGGAGCTCGGAGTAGAGCCGCTGCTTCTTCACGTCGAGAGGAACCAGTTGAGGTGGCTCGAGCATCTGTTCCGGATGCCTCCTGGACGCCTCCCTGGGGAGGTGTTCCGGGCACGTCCCACCGGGAGGAGGCCCCGGGGAAGACCCAGGACACGCTGGAGGGACTATGTCTCTCAGCTGGCCTGGGAACGCCTTGGGGTCCCCCCGGACGAGCTGGAGGAAGTGTGTGTGGATAGGGAAGTCTGGGCGTCTCTGCTTAGACTGCTGCCCCCGCAACCCGGCAACAGATAAAGCGGAAGAAAATGGATGGATGGATGGATATTTTAAATCACAATCACGAGTGTCTAAAAATGAAATCATTTTAACTTCCTGCTTTGATAAAAACCATCGACTCTTTATGTCGTCAGAAACACAATAATAACGGCTCTTTCAGTTGTTTGCAGCGGTTTCAAAAGGCAGTGTTTTCTGTTATTTGTCGAGGCGTAATATTTTATTGTGTTTATTTTACGCTGATAAGAACCGAAGGACAGGAGAATAATGTTGTTTTAATCAGTTCGTTCGCTCGACATCGTACTGGTACAATCAAAATATATTTTTACTGAAGAAAATGTGGTCTGAGGTCGAGTCGTTCAGAAAGAAGACATGTTTTATTGTGAATGGTAGAGACACGGACAGAGAATGAAAGTGATACAGCACTCGCCGCGACACCAGAGACTCTGACCTTGAGATAATCCAAAACATGAAGTGGAAAAGACCTGGTGCTTTGTTAGAACGATGAGTTTAACTTCTTTAACTGAGTTTGGCTTAACTGATGATATTATTACAATGACATTTGTCAACAACTATCTATTGGTCGTATTTGTTATGGTCGGAAATACAAATGAAATGTAATTAAAGTTAATTATAAGAACAGTGTGAAAACTGAAGCTTTGGTAAAATTAGCGCATAGATCTGTGACACTCTGGAATGTGTGGAATGTGAGGAATGTGAGGAATGTGTGGAATGTGAGGAATGTGTGGAATGTGAGGAATGTGTGGAATGTGAGGAATGTGAGGATTGAAGAGTGTAAACTATTATGTCTCTAAAACAGACATGTTGGATGTTTGTGATGAAATGGTCATGTCATTGTGTCCCTGGGCAAGACACTTAACCCCACTTCCCGAAGGCCCCACTGAAAGACCAAGACCAAGGCTGTGTTGTTGCCATCGGAGAAGCCCCCACGGACCCCCCACCTGCAGGAGGCGAGGGGCAGACCTATTGACATGAAATCCAAATAAAACACAGGTTTAGAAAAATCAGGATTTATAACAATTTTGTATTTATTTTTTTCCCGACCAGTTTCTAATAATAATAAATGGGTTTTATACAGAACTTTTCAGACTCTCAAAGTCTATTCATATTCTGTCTCCAAACACAGTGGTGATAAACTACTGTAGCCACAGCTGCCCTGGGGCACACTGACAGAAGCGACGCAACCAGTGAGTAGTAAGTAGTAGTAGTAGTAGTAATCTTTATTTATATACCGCCTTTTCACTGCAAATCTGAGTCTCAAAGCGGTTTACAATTGTTAATTTGTGTTTTTTTTGTTTTTTTTTTATTTGGGCAATTGTCCTCTCACTCCACACAGAGATGGGAGCAGGGTCGCCAGTCTGTGCCATCGGCCCCTCCCACCACCACCAACCACTCACACACACCAGACTCATTCTAATGTGGGGGAAGTGTCTTGCCTAAGGACACAACCACAGTTTGGCACTTTACAGCCGCAGCCGCCCCACTGTGGCACCTGCTGTTCCCAGAGGTTAAGTGTCTTGCCCAAGGACACAACGACAGCAGACAGAGGGAGTTGATGGTGAAAGTCGGGCTCGAACCCACAACCCTCTGGCTCAAAGGCTCTACCAACTGAGCTGTCGTTTGTCTCTACATTCTCCAAAGCCGTTCTGAGTGAAGTATATGTGGTCGTGTTGCAGATGTTTTTTAGATCAGTCAAAAAATAATAAAACAATTTCATCTAACATGATAATATGTAACACCACATCAGCAAAACATAATCTGAACATCTTCAGTATTTCCTGTATTGATCGATTGCTATTTATTAATGAGCCGATACCAAGAGCAGACGAGTCCTGTGTGTAATCAATAAGCAGCACACAAAGCAGACACTTAAATACACATTTATTAAAGCTCAGATCTTATTCTTTAACTGCCACAATGTTATTTTTGACCTGCAGAGAGACACCAGGGACAAGCAGAGAAATGCTCCATTAACAAGTATCGCAGAGTATTAGAAAAACTGAC